GTCCTGTCTTTTTTTTTTTTTAGTTTTATTCATTTCAAATGGGCCAGACGTAGTTTGCCCACGGCTGCACTAGACTATAGACAGAAAGATCAACTGCTATTACAATTCATTCCAATAAGATGTCCAAATACTTCTATTCTAATAGAATGTCAAATGTTGCTCAAAATTATATTAATTTATACCACTAAATTATAAATTTATAATTAAATTAATAGTGAATATTAGGGGAAATATATATTTTTAATTCTTTGCACGTGTATATATAATATTTTATCTGTTGAAGAAGAAATATGCATTTCATTCTTTCAATATGTATATACATGTGTATATATATACACTCACACACACATGTAAATACACACACACACACATACACACACACACACAAAACAGTCACCTGGACATGATAAAACACCAAATGCATTTATAAACTGTCAGAAGGTAATACAGAAGCAAACTAAGACATTTTTATCTAAAGGGGAAGCAAACCTGATTTTTGGATTGTTGCATCTTATCTCTGTGTTGATGTGCTTCTCTGTTTGATGACAGAGCAGGATCTTGCTGAACTGCCCCCACTGGAGTAGGCTACAACACAATAGCAATTAGCATCAATACAACCTACTTCAGAAGTTTTACTTAATATCATTCAGCTGTTTAAAAGACTCAAGGAAGAAAGTAAGGCCTTAAAAGACATCATTCTCAAAATATATTAAAGCTAACGAAGACAACACAGCTACTCTTTAAAATGTTTTGAGAATATTTAAATGCTTTATCAAGTATTTATTTTTACTGGTATAACAAAAAAAGATCTTCTAATGCTGTCATTTCTTTTAAATTACTTTTTCATATAAAAAATATGGTTTGGCTGAGTGGATAGAGCATCAGCCTGTAGACTGAAAGGTCCCAGGTTCGATTCCGGTAAAGGGCATGTACCTTGGTTGCGGGCACATCCCCAGTAGTGGGTGTGAAGGAGGCAGCTGATTGATGTTTCTCTCTCATCAATGTTTCTAACTCTCTACCCCTCTCCCTTCCTCTCTGTAAAAATCAATAAAATATATTTTTTAAAAAATATGAAAGTATATCTGTTCATTGTTTCTCATCTTCAAAGCTAATGTATAAACAGAATAAATTATTTTTAAGGGAATAAAAAAATTAAGGGAACAACTTTTTATTTTTTTTATTTTTATTTTTTTAATATAAAATAAACTAATAAAAATGCATACTGTCACTCAGAAGAGGCTTATAAAAAATTTCCAAGTACAATTCAAAATATAAATCTTTAATCAAAGTTTATTTAGATTTTCACCATAGATAACATGTATATTCAAATCACTTTGCATTTAAGAAAAATATACACTAAACACTTAGTAAGTCAACTGTTCAAAAATACTTGAACTTGAAAGGTCAGTGGTTCCAAATATGGATAAAAACTTGCTAACCGTGAGCCACAAATAAAGAAAATTTTGTAGAACATTCTTACTTATTAAAAAAAAGATTAAATATTTGATCTTTCAGAATTTGCCTCTTCAAAGAAAGAATATAATGACATCTCTTTAAGTGCTAAGCACCAATCCTACAGTTAAAATAATTTTTTTAAGTTATGAAAACTTAGGTACAGTTTTAAAAACTTACTCCAAGTATCAATCTATTCCAAGAGATAACTTAGAACTGCTAGAATAATTAAAACATTTTTAAATTACAAATATTTTAAAAGATGGCTAAAGTAAACAGAAACCAAACTAGCTAGCTGATCATTTAAAGTAATCACTAGAATATTAGACCAAAAATAGTATATTTGACACTAAGAATTAAATCAGGGATGAAAAGTTTGAAAAATCACTCTAAAAAGCAGAGTCCAAATGTAGGGTATTTATAAAATTCAAAGGATAATATATTAGTATTTTGTTACCTAAACTATCCCTAAAAAGGAAATAAAATGAACCCTTTTTCAAATGTATTTGTTTTCAACTCTTTTCACTTGAAGGAAAAAACACAATAAAATATTTTATTATATAGTGGAGAAACTCACCAACTGTTTACCCATCCAGTCATATTCATAATCAAACAGATATCCCTTTCGATCAAACAAGTCAGTGAAAAGCTTTCTTAGGTAGTCATAGTCTGGTTTTTCAAAAAAATCTAGCCTTCTTACATAACGAAGATATGTTGCCATTTCTTCTAGAAAGGAAATAAACATTATTTTGAATATACTTATCTACATACTCGTTAGTAAAATTATTTAAGTGTGTAAAAAGCATACAGTATTGTAAAAACAGAAAAAATAAAATTCTATATTGCAATTTAAATTTTTATAAATTTAATTACAATGACTTTTTTTTTTTTAAGGGAGAAAATTCCTAACCTTGTTTATAAGCAGTATTCGAACCAACTGACCTAGCAAAATAATCCTCAGAAATATAACACAGAAGCTGCTTAATTCTTCTTTTAATTTCTGGTCATATAATTAACAATCATGCATTCCATTAAAATTCTAAAATGTATTAGAGATTTGTATATTTTTAAAAGGTCATACTCTTCAGGATGAAAAAGACATAAAAATCGATAGGCAAAATGGTAAGCAAAACCATGTTTCTCCATGGAAGCACAAAAAAATCACTGTAGTAAGAGATAGGAGGTTGCACCTAGTTGCTTTTCTGATTCAATTCATTCCTGGTAGCCAATAAGAACAGGATCACGCTAAGCTCAAAGGGCAGTGAAAGTGGCACCCACTGACCTTGATCACATGGTGAAGCTCACTATTCCACTTTCTAGCTAATTATCTGGTTAATTACTTTGGCACCACCATTTCATTTTTCTTGCAGAAATTTATATAGGCTTCTTAACTTGCAGTCCATCTGCCTACACCTAAACTGCTAGTACTAGCAACAAATATTTTTTTTAACCCTCTAGTTTTAGATTAAAAAAAAACATATAATTAAAGTTTGCTTACAATGAATAAAATAGCACACTTGGGAAAGAGCTACCAGAGATTATACTGCTGATATTATTAGAATAATAATGTCAGCATTGTACAGGCAAAGCTGTGAATATCAAAGTGAGATTGAATTCAGCCGTCTATCTTCAAGTTTGGTTCTCTGTTTTCTCAATGTTATTGCACATATCTCAGCACGTATTTAAATACATTAGCAACACATTATTCTTATTTCTTTTTTATTCTTATTTCTTAATTGATTTAGAAATCTTAAGTTTCTGTTGGTTTGAGTTGCCATAAATCTACATGAAAGCTAAACTATTTTCATAAAGCTCCTTAATATAAAATTAACCTAAAGGTAATAAAGGTAGTAAGGTTTTACTGTACTTTGAAAACTGGACTAAATCATACATCATATACCTACATTGAGTTGAACAATGAGACTCAAATGACTAACATTACACTGAAACTTTATAGTTGGTATTTCTTAGCAAATATTTTTTAATTCTTTATTGTTTAAAGTATTACATATGAATCCTTTTTCCTTCATTGACCTCTCCCTACTCGCCCCCTCACCGCCCCTACTGACTGTGTCCATGGGTTATGCTTATATGCATGCATACAAGTCCTTTGGTTGATCTCTCTCCCCACTTCCCTCCGACCCCCCTTCCAAATATTTTAACTTCTTAAAAATATTTTATTTAAGAAAATATTACTTCAGCTGGTATTGGTCAGCATTACTAAAGATGGGATTTTCTTCTTCTAATACCATCTTAACGAAGCAAATATGAAAACTGACCCTGTGGTCTGTGCATCAAATGCTGACATCTTTTAAATAATATTTTGAGTTCATTTTTTTAAAACATGAAAAAAGGTATTTATACACTTAAACAATGATTAACACTTCTAGTCTTCTGTGTATCAGTATATGGTTCAATGTGGTATTATTCATTACCTGGAAAATTTTCACATAACACTTCTATGGGTGTGGCTCGTTTTGTATCTCCAATTTTCTGATACCTCTCTTTTAATGTGTCAGCCTAAAACAGGGGAAGAAAAAAACCTTGAGAAAGTGGTAATTTTAAAATTAAATACTTGGAAGACTGGGTTGTAATATATTAACAATTTCTAAAATTCAATAAGGAAACATAAAAATGTTTACCTTTAAACCTTGCCAAGGAAGACTGCCTCTAAGAAAATACATGAACATATGACCTAAAGCTTCTAAGTCATCTCTTCTACTTTGTTCTGAAATATAAGAAGAACATAAATTACACTTGCCTCTTCCAGTTAAGAATGCAAGAATGGAGAACTAATTCTTCTGTTATATACCGATTAATTGCTAAAAGTTTAGTATATAAATACATAATATAGATCTAGTGCTTTATATATGACAAGGTCTTAGTTAAACAATAATGTTTTTACATTAAATTTATTATACATCTTTAAAATATGCTATACTTCCTGAGAATCTATTGAAGACTTTTTTCTCTCTTGAGATATCTATTCACAGAAACATAAGGCAAGGGGGGAAAGGTTCCATGGTCAAATAAAGTCACTGTATACTAAAGCTCTGTCTTAAAGATTCAGAATGTAACATATGAAAGATTCTGGAAAAAGAACTAGAGTTTTTCCCTAAAAGATTAATCCTAATGTTAACCTTAAACGTTATACCCTAAGAATATCTAACCCTGCATTTCCTAAATTTATAAGCACAAACTTCCATCCCACAAACATCATTGATTTCAAAAACAATTAGTATTCTCTGTAATGTTTTTTTAAAAAACACTTGTGTTTGACACCTTCCAACATGCATAACCCCTCCAAAAATATACTGCTAAAACAAATTGTCATTTTCAAATTGCTATTATTGTTTTAGTAATAAACTGTTGTATAGCACATAACCGAGTGACAATCACAGACTAAGGGAGGTATCTACAAATATTTGCTGAGTGCATTTTTTTCAATATTTTTATCACTGAAGTTAAATGCTTAATATAAAAAATGCTAACAAAAGAAAAAATAATACTTTAATAATAGAAAGATGTTCATGTGCAAGATGTTTTATACAAATGAATAAGCAGTACTAAATGCTTTTGAAAAGGCAAATGAGCATTAAAGCTTCAGAAAAGGTTTTAATTTTTGCTCTATAATTTCATAACATTCTATCATTGTCTCCTGTAACGTGTGCTACAGTTTAAAAATATATGTTTGTGTTATTTTTTAATCAATATCTATGCTCCCACCAAATAGCAAGACCCAGGAGGCCAGATGTCTGTCTCTTTGGCTCATTATTCTCAGATCTAGTATAATGGCTGCCACAGAGCAGGCACTCAACACAAACTATTTAAATACATAAATGAATATTTGGAAATATATACTACCAGATATATGTCCCTTTTCTATAAGTACAGGAAAATATCTAAAAGAATATGCTTTAAATCATTAGTAATCAGGGATATGAGACTGGAGAACAAGACAAGACATTTCAATTTCTCATTTCATATACTAAAAAATGTGGTATAATAGGAAATTTTTCTTCTATTTTGTATTATAATAATGTAAGCATGTGCTATTGAAAACAGCAAACTTTCAAAATAAGTAAAATAGATTTAAAGTTCTTTATAAAGCCAATAATGAACATGGGATGTGAATAACATGAAAAAAATCATGCCGTTTATTACTAAAACTATATTTTATTAGGTACTGGAAGTATTAAGAATAAAAAGTCATGCCAAAAAAATTCTGAAGTCTTGCTGAGAATCGGAATCAACTCCGGAATCTTTTAAAAACCTTAAGTAAGCAGGCCTAATACCAGAGATTGATTCATTGGGTACAACATGGAGTAGAAGAATGTACATTTTACATGTCTTCTTAAATTAATTTCAGAGAGGAAGGGAGAGAGAGTTAGAAACATCAATCAGAGAGAATCATTGATCAGCTGCCTCCTGCACATCCCCCACTGCGGATCGAGCCCACAAGCCAGGCATGTGTGCCCTTGACCGGAATCGAGCCAGGGACCCTTCAGTCCGTAGGCCGATGCTCTATCCGCTGAACCAAACCAGCTAGAATGTACATTTTAAAAGTTTAGCAGATAATTCTAAAGTAGACTCAGATTTGATAAGCTCTAAAAAGGAAACTTCTTTCATTGAAGTATTTAATTATTTAACATATAATAAAATACATACATTATAGGGGTACAGTTTGATAAACTTTAACAACACGCACACCTAAGTACCATCTATTAAAGGATGTTTGTGTAACTTCCAGTTTGAGGCCATTGTGAATAAAATTGTTATGAACATTCTTATACAAGTCTTTTTGTGACATATGCTTTCATTTCTCTTGGGTAAATATCTAGGAGTGGATTTCTGTGTCATATGGAAAGTATAGGTTTAACATTATAAGAAACTTCTACACTATTCTCCAAAGGGGTTGTACCATTTTGTATTTCCACCAGCGATGTAGGAGAGTTCCAGTTGCTCCAGAGCTTGTTCAACATTCGCTAGTAGTATAGCCAATCTTTTAAATTTTAGCCATGCTGGTGGCCATGAAGTATGTGCTCACTGTGATTAAATTTGAATTTCACTAGTAACCAATATTTTTTAATATCATTTCATGTGTTACTGGTCATTCACACATCCTTTTGTTAAGTGTCTGTTCAAATATTTAACACATTTTTTAAGTTTTATTTTTTGTCTCATTCTAAAGTTGTAAGAATTGTTTGTATATTATTGATATGTCATTTTCAGATACAAATTTTACAAATACTTTCTCCCTCATCGATGTTTCTATCTCTCTATCCCTCTCCCTTCCTCTCTCTAAAATAAATTTTTTAAAAACCCACAAAACTAGAGAATTTCTTGAAGAAAAATTAGGAGAAAAGTCTTTGTGATCTTAGGATAGTCAAAGGTTTCCTAATAAATTGGACTTCTTTCAAAGAACAGAAGTGTGCATTTTGACACTGACCTCACTCCCTTCAAAAAATTAACCAAAATGGATCACATACCTAAATGTTAAACACAAAATTATAAAATTCCTAGAAAATAACACAAGAAAGATGGCCTTGGTTTTGGCAAAGATTTTTTTACATATAATAACGTAAGTATAATCCATGAAAGAAATAATAATGAGCTATACTTCATTAAAATTAATAACTTTAGCTCTGCAAAGACACCATCGAAAGAATGAAAAGATAAGCCACAGACTGGGAGAAGATATTTGCAGAAGACACATCTCATAAAGGACTGTTATCCACAATACATAAAGAACTCTAAAATTCAAAAATAAGAAAATAACCTGATTACGACTGGGCCAAGACCTTAACAGATACCTCAGAAAAGAAGATATATAGTTGACAAATAAGTATATGAAAATCCCACATCATGTAATCAAAAAGTGCAAATTTCCATCTCTTAGAATGGTGTCTACAACACTGACAACAGCTAATGCTGCCAAGAATGTGGAACAGAAACTCTCATTCATGGTTGGTGGGATTGCAAAATGGTACACCCACTTTGGAAGACAGTTTGAGGGTTTCTTACAAAACTAAATATACTCTTACCATACAATCCAGCATTAAGATCCTTGGTATTTAGAGGAAACCAAGATGGCGGCATAGGTAAACACCTGAAATTGCTGCCTTGCACAACCACTTCAAAAAATACAACTAAAAGACAAAATGGACATCATCCAGAACCACAGGAAGGCTGGCTGAGAGGAAATTCTACAACTAGAAGGAAAGAGAAAAGCACACTGAGACTCAGAGGACGTGCGGAAGTAAAGTGCAGAGGTACGAAGGCGCCTGCGGAAAGGGCTGGTAACTGAGGACACGGTTGTCTTTTTCAATCAGGAGGGAGTCTCAAGCTCCCAGCTGCTCTGAACTCCAGTTCCGGGCGAGTTTCTGGGGACCCAGACTCATACAGGGAGAAACTGGACTGTCTGGCATCGGTCGGAACTCCAGGGTGGCTTTCTCTCAGAGGTGCTTGCAGCGATTACCACGGGACACTGAGCCCCAGAGCCTCTTAGGGTAGGACTGAGGATCAGCCATAGCTGTTTTCTCCGCCCTGTTGATTCCCTGAGACATCGCCCCACCCAAGCTGTGTGCAGAGGCTTTTGCATATGAATGGCCTAGCCCTTTGCAATCTAAAATTACCTAACAAACTGCAGCTGGGTCAGAGAGATCCAGAACATCTAAAACAAGGGCCAAGGCCCCACAGCAGCTTGCATTTCTTCACAGCTGGGCTTCATGTAGGCACCTCCAAACCCCAAACAAAGAAGAGGAATCTGCAGATCTCTGCATAGCTCCTGCTGGGTAGCCTCGGGCAGTGTACCCAGTGGCCAGAGTGGGACCATCCAGATTACAACTCCTCAGATCCATAAGGGACACACCCAGGGGGCAGACTCAGTGAGCACCAAAGCCCCACTGGAGCAAGTCTTGCCCCAGAAGGGTGTCTCCAGCACAGAAGTTATCCCACTGCAGACACAGCTAATTGTCACAGCCAATTGGCCTGGAGGTCAATTCCTCC